CCCCTACTCTTTCCTCTTTGCCATTTCTTCATGGTGCAAACCTTCATTTGCAGTGGCATGCAGGCTCTGAGTCAATTGTAAGTAAATGCCATGAGAGAAAGTGTTCGACTTGTGTAAAAACTTCATTTCCCAGAATCCACAACATTTGGCACACAGCAGGTGTTGGATAAATGTTCACTGAGTGACTAACCGACTGTCTCCTTTCGAGCTTGCTCATCTCCCCTCTGCAGACTCGGTTCCCCCACAGGTGTTTCCTGGGTTCCCATCTCCCCCCCCACCCCGGGGGGTTACCTGTGCTGGGCAGTCTGTCTGTCTTGTCTTAGGTTTTCTCCAGATGCAGAACCCTTGGAAGCTGACCAAGGTTTGGCCAATCTTTCTACCTGCGGCTTCCAGTTCAAGGCCTGGCACCCAGCAGGTACCCAGTAAATGCAGGGAAGCTGCCAGCAGCCCGGCTCAGTGACTTGAAATCCCCTGTCGCTCCCAACCGTGAGCGCCGGGCCAAGCTGTTGGCAACATCTGCTTCCGAGTCTCATTTGCAATTAAACGTTCCCAGGCTTTTGCCACTTAATATTTAATAACCAGGCGGCTGGCCTTCTCTGGCAGCCACTTAAGCCCCTGATTGCCTCTTGTCTGAACTTGGCCTTGAGTGAGGCATATACTGCTTTGGGGTTAAGCATGAAGCCCAGATCCCGAGTCTGGGGCCAGCAGAAGGCCAGACCCCTCTGGCACTGGGGGAAGAAATGCCTGTTGGCTTGAGGCTCCTGGTGACCTGACCCTGCAGGAGGCGGGGGGTGGGGGCACACTCCCTGGCCTCCACCTCTTCTCCTCTGCCGTGGAGCGCTGGGCTGGCTCCTGGGGAGGAGGAAAAGGAAAAGTACTAATGGGACATTCCTGACTCATACCCAAGCTGGGCGAGGAGGAAGACAGGGGGATTCCGCCCGGGCTGGGTCCCAACAGGAAAGGTGGTTCCTTCCTGTGTGTCTTGGCCACCAGGACTGAGGGCCTGGGGGGCCCGCGGCACCAGGGAGTGGGGCTTGGGCACCCTGCCAGCCTCCACGGGCAAAAGGCTGGAGATGCCTTCGGAGTCGGCTGTGGAGGGAGACGTGGGGATGGCCGAGCTCCTGCCTGGTGCTGGGAAGCCCCACAGGCCCCGGATGCTGGGGTCAGCTGGGAGAGCTGACCTCAGCAGGACTGCTGGGGGGAGAAGAGGAGAGAGGCCAGGTGGCCCGCAGCAGTCACAGGAAGGTTCTGGAAGAGGGAAGAGCAAGTGCAAAGTCTCTGTGACTGTTGCCATGGGGTCCAGGGAGGGTCAAAAGCAGAGGGAGGTGCTCCTGGGCTCACAATGGGGGACGGCAGGTGCAACAGACCCCAGAGAGAATCTTACACCAAGTTGTACTTGCTCTGCCCCTGACCAGCCCATCTGGGGCAAGTCCCTGCCCGAGGTGCTGTCACTGCGCAGGTTGGACAACATGACTGCCAGACCTCTTCTAGGGTGACGAGTCCTCTATTCTGCTCTCAGATCAACCCAGGAACCTGGGACCCGAAAGGCCACTTATTCTTGGTGGTCTGCAGAGCTGATCCCGCAACCTTCAGAAGGTGCCTGGTGCAGATCACCGTGCGACAGGCAGTGTTTATAAAGCGCTCACCACGGGCAAGGTGCTATGCTAAATCAGCCCTCTGCCAGCACCCGCCATCTCCTTTAACCCTGTCAGCCTGTCCCTGTCTTCCCCTTGCTGCTTCTCATTCCCGGTCCTGCTGACAGCACCTTCAAAGCCCAGCCCTGGCTCACCACCCGTTCCACATTCCCCTGCCCAGCCCCTATCAACCACTGACCACTGACCACTACCTGGGCATCCTCCGGCTCTCCTGCACCCGCCCTGGTCCCTGCAACCCATCTATCCCCCCATAACAACCAGGAGGCCTTTGAACATTTGAAATCAGATCGTGTCTCTGCCTGCTTCCAACTGCTGGGGGCTGCCAGGAAGCTCAAAATCAAACCCAGATCCTACAGCCAGCGCTGCTCCACGGCGGGCGCTCCCCTCCCTCCATCCGCATCTTGGATGCTCTCTGCTGTGGAGCTGAGCTGGCCTTCCCCTCCTCCAGGGAGGCCCCCAAGTCCAACGTCCAATGCCCAGGGCTCTTCCATGGGCATCACCTGAACCTTGGTTCCAATGTCCCCTGCTGGGAATGGCCCTCCCTCTCCCTCCAAACCCTGACCCCGGCACCCCACCCCTGCACCCAGCCTCTCATTATCCCATTTCCAAATTTTATAGCTCTTATCACCTTCTTATTTATTTATGTGCTCCCTCCCCTGGAATGCAAACTTCACCAGAGAGGGACTTCAGCTGGCGTTGGTCTTTACAGGATCTCTGGCACCTGCAGAGGGTCTCTGGGGGGTTCCATCCATGCAATGCCAGCGTAGTAGTATCATCCCATTGTATGGAAAGCCCAGCAAGGTCAAGTGCAAGTGTGACTCACCACCTCTGGAATGCAAACCCCCATCCCATCCCACGGGCACTGCACCAAAGCTTGATGCAGGAGGCTGAGTACCACGACTGTCCTCAGAGCCAGAGTCCTGGGAACTCAGAGTTCCTTCAGGGGACATCCTGGTGTTGGCACTGGTGCTGGTGGTACCAGGATGTGCTTTTTGATTTTGCCCCCATTGGAGTTCCTATTGTGAAGCTGAGAGTCTAGGAGGAGGCCCAGCCTTCCCCACACCCTTCTGCCCATCGGTGGCCCCCTGCCGTTCCTGTTGGGGCTGATGGGCCCCCAGGAAGCCTAGAGGCCGCTTGGTGGTCAGCAATCTCAGCCCCTGCCTGCCCCTGTGGGTTTCCAACGCTCCCTCCCTCTGCCGCAGTCGCTGCTACACAGTTAATGGAATAACAAGACACTTTACTCATTATCTGATGC